CACCTCAATGACTCCCCGATCAAGCTTTGAACACTGACTTACCTTGCATGCAACTCATACCTTTAAACTGACATATATATTATATCCGTATTTCAGGTTATATAGACAGACAAAAAAGACTAACACCCAGAGCCGTAATGAACTTGAGTGGGGTAGCACTCCATTCTCCCAACATGATCCACCATTCTGTACTCTCCCAGACCATTACATGCTCATATAAATACAGTATATGCTTTGAAAAGGTCAAAATATCCATGTCAGTGGATCCGCAACACCATCATCAAGAAAATCGTCAACCATCTGTCAATGTCAGCACTGATCAACCGCCTCAAGCAACGCACTCACCAGTGAATCCCAGTCATTTATAAAGCCAAGATCAATTTCCTGCAAATCTTGAATCTCTGTACCGTCAGGTTGTAATTGAGCCAAGAACGGTTCAAACACTACCAATGCATCTTGCATCGCCTCTTCACCAGCTTTGATTATGAACTCAACGATCTCAGATTCGGATAAATGTTTCATGATGCCCATGATTTGTGCCCTCAATATCGACAGCATGAGATAGCCTTTGATGTTGGTCTCGCCTGCTTCAATGGTTCGCAAGTTCCATGATTTCGAGTCCTCCATGACTTTCAACAAGTCTGGTCGTACTGGTGCCAGGGAAAAGCTGTCGTCCTCTTGGACCGTGCTCCTCAGTTCGAGGACGAGTAAGATGCTGGACTGCCATGCTGAGAGTCGAAAGAACCCGGAGCTGCATGTGACGAGACGCGCGAACTGTCGTTTGTCTGGAGAGGTTACCATGTTGGCATTGTCTGAGAATATAGTGGACCACATTCTGAAAGCTGATTCGACCGTCATCTTCCGCGAGAAGGCGTAGCTCGGTTCTTGCAAAGAGAGTCCATAGTATGGAAAGTGAAGTGCACAGAAATACCGGCGCATCATGAAGTCACCTACAGACAGCTCAAACTCCGTTGCTGAGTTTTGGCCCCTTTTGCAGTCCTTCAAAAACCGATTGGCTTCCTTGTATGAAGCTTTCAGTTCTGCATCAAGACGCAGTGTCTCTTGATACGAGTCACCGGATTTGAGATCATTGAGTAACTTGACAACTTTGAGACGAGTACCAAATGTCAATCGCAATACCCTTGCTGTCGAAACTTGGGTAAAGACGCTGTTCGGTCTGGAAGTTGCACCATTTACCACGATTTCGTCATCGTCAAAATTCCCGGGCGGCTCAGTATCGAACTCTTCTTCTGTAATCATTGGCGGTCCGCCAGACGAGAGACTTGACTGCAGGCAGAGTTCCAGTATCGTGTTCCAGAGTCTTCGACGCATCTCACAAGCCATTGTCGTAGTTTTCGGTAAAAGTGTGGGATCTCTGTGCAGACCCATTGAAACGGCGGTCCTGAGTAGTGAACCGCATGCGATCCAGGACGATTCGCCTCCCACAGAGACCATCTCCCGGGCAAGAACAAGGAGAATGTTTGTTTGGAGAAATTGGATACCGAGCCTGGATTTGAACTCTGGCTCTGATATCCACGTCTGAACTTCGTATATCCATTGAACGGCCGAGGCTCGTAACGAGAAATTGTCATCGTAGGTCGTCGCGCCCAGCGCAAGCACCAATTTGAGCTGAGCCATAAAGTCCCTATCTGACGCAGCATCAGAGGTCCACAGAGCATCATACTTGTTTCTAAATGTCGGTATGTGAAGTATACGATACACCTTCTCTATACTTTCCAGGTAACATTCGACGAGACTGTCGCAAACGGCCTTGGATGCCAATTCAGTGGTGAGTGGTGTTGGCCATGCTGGCGCACGTAGTGCTTTTATGCGCCTTGCCATAGTCTTGCACTTCTGGACAGCGATAACAAGATCTGAGGTTTCAGTTGCGTACTGGTCAATTGCTTCTATGATGTCTCGGAGCTATTCTCTGTCAGCATCCTCGAATGCGAATTGAAGTTTTGCGCCTTACCAATGGTAATCCACAGACAAAATGGCTTTGCCCGAAGAACCGCGACTTGTGAGAGATGGCTCGAGGCGCCGCTAATGCGCCTACATGTTGTCTTTGAGAGTGCAGGTGAAACGTTCCGCCCAATCTTGATGTTGAGGTTTCAAGTGTTGAAGCTGGCGTTGAGACATTCGATTGCAACGGTGTTGCAGTGGCTGATGATATTTGACTCTCGAGCTGACGCACTCTGCTTCGCAGCATGTCGAGTTCCTGAACAGACGATTGACTGACCGGTGTCGGCGCACCCGTTGAAGAGCTCGCTGCTCCTGTACTCACACCGGGTAATCCGGAGTTTGCGCTCGCGACAAGATCTTCAGGCGTTGGCAGTGAGAGAAATGCATTGAAGTCTCCTCCGATCTCGGCGATATGATCTTGACTTGCGGTGTTTCTTTCAGCTGGAGGAGGATTTTCGTAAACGCAGTCGCCCTTTCTTGCGCGCATGCAATTGCTACACGGCGATCCGCGATTGCAGCGCATCTTGCGCTTTCGACAAAGATTACATGACCTGCGAAAATATTAGCGATACTTCGCGATGAAATCGGAGATGGAGTTGGTACACAGCTGGTCTTCGTCGGCGACGCACAGGTTCCATTTTGGCGGTATTTGATGATGTTGCTTTGCGAGAAGGACTTGGGATGCGGAGAATTGTGTAATTCAGGTGATAAGAAGTGCGCTTTTGGTACTAATGGTTCTCCATTTCCCGGTTTTGAGTCTAACTCCGACCCCGACCCCGAATCCGTCAGATCGTTATTGGTCAGTTGTCTTGTAAGCATGATAGAAGCTAGGAGCAACTTGATCCCTTGATTATCATGCTCAATATAAAAGGAGTGAGCTACCTGAAAACACGACGAGGGAATCTTTCATGCCATTAACGTATTGCATTCAAGAGTCCCTTACCTAGACACCACCTCGACCCCAATTTGTCCCCCATCATGGCCGATCAGGACAACTTCATAAGACTTCAGGACCAGGCACTTTCTGATTCCGGCAACAATCTGGAACAAGAAGAGAAGAAAGTATCCGGTGACCCTCTTGAGCTTTCGCCTGCACCGGATGGAGGTCTCCAGGCGTGGCTGGTAGCAGCTGGATCAGCTTGTATCTTCTTCTCATGTCTCGGTTTCGCCAACTCTTTCGGAGTTTTACAAGAATACTACATGACTCACCAACTTCAAGGACATTCAGAAGATGCAATCGCTTGGATTGGATCCATCTCGACTTTTATCCAGTTCGCTGTTGGCGCTTTGAGTGGTCCCATGTTTGATCGCTATGGTTCTTGGGTATGTTTTCAATTCATCATGAGTTGTTTGATGCTAACTGTTTCACAGGTCCTCCGCCCAGCCGCCGTTACCTACGTATTCGCGACCATGATGACGAGCCTATGTACCGAATACTGGCATTTCATGCTTGCTCAAGGTATCCTCATGGGCATTGCAATGGCTTTCCTCCAGATTCCCGCTTTCGCTGCCGTTTCCCAATACTTTGACAAGAAACGAGCCGCTGCTTTCGGGATAGCCGTCTCAGGCTCTTCTATCGGCGGAGCCGTATTTCCGATTGCCTTGTCAAAGATGTTGAACGACTCTTCTCTTGGCTTTGGCTGGTCCATCCGCATCATGGGCTTCGTCATGATACCTCTCATGTCCTTCTCATGCATGGCGGTCAGACCCCGTCTGCCCAGCAGAAAGACTTCGTTCTTTCTTGTTGAGCCCTTCAAGGATCCTTTGTACTTGCTCGTCATAGGATCTTTATTCTTTCTCTTCATTGGCATGTTTGCACCACTCTTCTTCATCCCGACTTATGCAGTCTCACGAGGCGTCAACCCCACGTTGGCATCATATCTACTCGCCATCACGAACGCTGCATCAACCTTTGGCCGCATCATTCCGGGAGTGCTGGCAGACAAATATGGCCGTCTAAACATGTACTCTCTCGGAGGACTGTGCACCGGGGTTGTCATTCTCTGCATGAACGAAGCAAAGTCCACAGCAGCCTTGGTGGTTTATGCTCTGGTATTTGGTTTCTGCTCTGGAACAATCATCTCCGGCGTGTCAGCAGCCTTCACTCTCGTATCAAGGGACCCGAGAAACAACGGGACTTATATGGGAATGGGACTGGCTGTGAGCTCTCTTGCAGCTTTGATCGGTCCGCCTGTCAACGGTGTTCTTGTGAGCAAGTATGGGGGTTTCTTGCAGGTCTCTGTTTTCAGTGGTGTCATGTGCTTGTTTGGTGGATGTCTTGCTACTGTGGCCAAGATGTGGACAGAGAAGGGGATCCTTGGTAGGATCTGACCTAGCTCTGGTATCAGTGTGGTGTCATCATTGGAGTATACCTGAGGTACTTCAAGAACTGTATTATACTCTACAAAACACGGCTTTTTAATATGTCTGGGAAATAATCATCATGATCTTCTTGTCGCTGCTCATTTTTATCGGTAGTTTCACCACATGGCCTGAGAGCCGTGTATCTCGACCGATTAGTATTGTCGATATCTTAGGAGTCCCTCTTCAGATAAGAAATGCAACTTAATTTCGCTATTAAAATCTGTACTACTCTCCTCTGCTCTACATAACAGGATGATCTCGACTGTTTATGTATCAACCTATCTGGTAACATGTAGCCAACCAAACACGACCTCCGTGTAGCGTGTTTCCGACTCATTCTATATCTTTGAGAGTGAAATTATCTTGTAGGCAGTGGACCTGGGCTAAGATCATGGGGGTTTACGGGACCCATGCAAAGCAAGATACCTAACGCCAACTTGCTGTCTGAAATGAGGAGATAGATCTTTTGAAGGAAGCTATAGATGCGAATTAGTGAATGCTGAATGTGGAGATATACGGAACAATGAACTTACCTACGCATAACAAAGACGCTCTACAATACAGCAGTTTTAGCGTAGACGCCGTTGGGAATAGGAAAATAAATGGTAGATGTCTGCTCCATGTAAAAACTTCGATGCATTTCAAAGTGATTCAATGAGCCTTCCAATCCGAAATTACTTCTGCATTGTGGAAGACGAATCTCGTACGTCAATGTCCATCGGAGAGCCCCCATGTTGTGGTGAGACAGCATCCTCGGCTATCGTTGGGAGATGGTCTTGAGGACAGCCCAGAAGCCTTTTTCGGGCTCGGCTACACCTCTTCGAACACCCTGGAGCAGTCATACCCTGGAGCATCGAATCTAGTGAAGCCGATACATGCTGCCTGTTCTCTGAGACTGATCGGAAATAACGTCGAATAGCCGCAGCAACTGCAGCGTGTCGTGGACAAAGTTCCGTGGGTAAGGGTTGGAGACCATAGAGATAATGATGATGTGGTTTGCGACAAGTTCGTTTCCTGCAAACTCTATCATGTGCCTTGGGAGGCTCCGAGATGCATCTCGTAAGATTCGCTGAGGTGGTCGAGAGCTTGGCGAATTGTGCAGTAAGATCCAGCATTTCTGTCATAATTGATTCGCCCCGGTTCTCCTCTGCAGTAGCAGACTGGTCTCGATCATCTTCAGGGTGGGCTGTTATAGTATTTGCATCAGGCATGGTGATATCGTAAGGCTGTTCTGAATGATGGTCGACAGACATTTTTTGTTAAGGAGGAGTATGAGAATGATATTAAAAGAAAATATAGTATGAATGAAAGACGATATTTGAGCTTTATATAAGTTAGTTTGACTGTAAGAAATCAGTATAAACTCTAGACTGTTTACTAACTTTTAAAACATTTCTATTTTTGTAATGCGCACGGAAAGAACTGTCTATGAGAACCAGGGTAAAGCTTCTGCAATCAAGTGGGTAGCGATGAGTATTGAGTTTACACAGCCTCGTGATATTTTCACGCTGAATGGACATAAGCGATTTAAGACCATCGCTTATGCTTTTGATGAGGTGCAAAAGAAAAACTAGTTCCTACTCAAGCCATAGACGCACGAGATGGGCCTTACAAACTTTGACAAGTTAAAATTTAATTTGTGGCTGGGAGACGGTGTTGCTTCTTGTAACGACGCATACTACGGCGAATTGTCCTGATAACTAGAACCTATCCCCATACCTCACACATAGAAAGTGTTGGTTTAGGTTGTCGGCAATACAGAGAGACCGGTGAGTAATGATCATTGGGTCAAGCTTGTTATGACTCTAAATTGGGCTGTCACAAAGTGCGTTGACCATCAACGCTGGAGGAGACGATCTCGCAATACAGACGCCTGCTTCTACTACTAGCAATTTCAAATGTATTTTTGAGAGGCAGAAGCTCATGAATAGCGTTTAAAAATGTTCTAAAAGTTCTTCAAGATACCCGTTGACTGGTAAAAGAAAAGCACAAAGCGGATTGAGCATATAGAACATGGTACAGAAAGGATCCGGCTTCGCTAGCTCGACAGTCTAAACTGATTAATACAGGTATTAGTATCCCAGGCTTTCATTCATTTTACCTTCTCATTGACAGAGCAACAATCTCTTCTCCTAGTTGTGGCCCCTGTTCTGTGCAGCTTTATGTCACGCGGTTCGGTGCACAACTTTGGGTCCAAATCTCACAAAAACCACACACATGCTTCATTTGGCCAAAGCTTATACGAACGAGCTTATGAGGAGTGAAGGGTATCTATTTTTCATGTGAGCGAGGAGAGTTGCTAAGCCACCACAACGAAACTTCGGAATGGTACTGCAATACCGAAGCAGATAAAAAGGATGGGCTGTGGCTATCCTGGTGAAGACGACCATATTCTGCGAAGAATAAACTATAAGATCATAGACACAGTGCTGCACATATATCTAGGGACGACTGTAAAGAAAGAAAAATGGATAAATAATCAAGATGAAAAGGGAGAGAAGGGTGGGGGGGATTCAAGGGCCACAGAGATGAAAGTGCTGCTGGCTGAGAGTTGGATGGCAGGCTTAGATGACCAGTAAAATGCGCCACAATATGGCTTTCTAAACTCATTGTATGTATAGTGTGAGTTAGGGATAACGATTCGACGAAAGAAAGTGGCAGATGTGATGCTTCCAGCGAAAGCTGCTGTATTGACGTGGATGTTGATGACATCCAAGACGACGTGGGCCGGTAGGGACGACAGGTGCATCAGCCCTGGTCTTGTTCTCGATAGTATAATGCAAGAGAAGAGAAGAACTGAGAATGGTCAAACAAAATCCCCACAGTGTACAATGGAGGGATGCATAGTTGTGAACTTTGTTGCAAAACTTATATCAAAGCTCAACATCATCTAAGACATGCTGATATCCTTATAGCTGATTATTCTTCTTCAAAGTCTACTTGACTTGCATTGGCGACTATGTCTATCTTGTTAACAGGCGTTTTCTGTGATGACGACCTACTTTTGTACCACCCAGGAGGGCTATGGCTTGATGAAGTTCAACCCTTTGATGGCGTTTTAAGTGACTATTGGAGCTTTGGCCAAATCAATTTCACAGCCACTCATGCCGTTTGTGCCACTGCCTTGAAAGCCACTCATGTTGTTCATACCCTACATATAGTGCAAGTTGCTGGCATGGTTATTATGATGGGAAGCAGTAGTTCGGTTGGACAAACGAACCTACGCATATCCTGGCATGATAGGAAAGAGAAAAGCATTGGACGGATCTGCGGTCATAATTGAACCACAACTTGTGATGACGTGTGAAACAGATATGCCAGCACTCTCGACCTCGAGATTAGTCTCCTCAAGTCCAAGCAGTAGCAAAGTCGACGAGTGTACGTGCGAAGCACAGCTGAAGAAGCATCTCGGTGATTACAAAAACGGGGATAGTGTCATGAATGCCAATATGAGATGAGTCTAGAAGAAAAGCCAACTCCTATCAGTTCAGTGATCATTGAATGGAACAAAGACATTGATAAAACGCTAACCCTAAGGAACTAGGGATTTCACAAGAATATTGATGTCAAAAGGCCTTCAACTTCCCATAGTGGTGCCAGAACGGTGATGTGATTGGAGGAAGATGTCACATAAACGCGAGTCTCTGACATCGCCTAACAGCAACTGCAAGAAACTAATGGCTTGGGTATGAGCATGTCTTGTTGGGTGCATAGTTGGTATGCCTGGGTAGCATTTCCGAGGAGTGGTCAAGAGTTAGTCGTCTAAGTTGTGAGCTAGAAGTGTTATTTGCCGCTGAGCCCTGTGGCTGAGAGCTTAATGCAGCCGAGAGAACCTCGTCGAGAGTTAGTCGGGCTGACAGTTGATGCTTGCATCGAGCGCCTGATGTCGAAGAAGATCAAGACGTTTCACAAGCTGCATTAGCAAGCCCGGGTTCCGCATCGATGTCATTGTAAAATATCTTGAGTGTGCAATTTATTCTCAGTGCTGGTCACAGCTTCCAGCCACGCGTCTCAACTGGAAAGAACACAGCAAGCTCATAACTTGAACAACTAGGCAAAGAGGAATGCTGGGGGGTCGTGATGAATCCGAATCTGATGCATAAAGCGGCGATGGGTGCCTTGGGACTGAAGCAATGGTATATGGAGGGCTCCATTAAACGACCGATAGCGAGTAGAACGACAGAAAGCAGAGGAGGGATATGAAGTCGAAAGAGGTTTCGGGTCGCTGTAATATCTGAGTATAGAGCAGTTGATCGACAGATCTTGGAGTTCTGGTAAGCCTTCGAATCCCCAAATTGTCACTCTGGGGCTACATTTACCATTTCAAAATAGCTTAGAGGTTGAAGACTCACAGATTCACCTACAGAGTGGCCTGATGGCTGAACATGGCACAGAATGAATCAACGTCATGACGACTATTTGTGTGGCTTTCTCAAGACTTGAGGCGTCAATATGTCACTGCATGCGTGCTATCGATACGAAATCGTTCCTCCAAAGTATCCTGCAGCTCTCCGTATGGGTTTACAGAAAGCTTTAGTTGCCTCAGAGACAACACTCCACGTGAAGGTATAGCCCATCAACCGCGATGACATAACAAATTCGTCCGCGCCGAAACAGATGATTCAGCAAATGTCTTCCTATTTTGCAGAGAACTCGTACATACTTTCCAGAATGCCTTTCATTATCGAATCGTCCATTATGGGATTTTATATGCCCGAATTTTTATTACAGCCTTGCATTCCAAGGCTGGTGGGATCCGAAGATTCCCGAATCACAATTCTGCGCCTGGCCTTGCCAACTTGGGACTTTGGAGAGCACTTTTGTCAAAGATTCGAGACTAGTCATCTAGTACGGTGGCCATGAAAAGGCGCTGGACATGACAAGTGCCAAAGCCTATCGGAAGTAGTCGGCTCGATGTTTCTGAGTCACAGTGATGTTTAAACCACGGTCGGCATGTAGCAATAATACTACGAGTGCAGTGAAAGTGGATGGTCATGTTTTATGTGATCTGCTTATGACACCACAACAGAGAGGCGACGAGCCAAAGTCTGTGTCTTGACTGGTTATATTTGAACTTGCCTATGCATGATGTTGAAGCCCTCATGTCGTCTCCTTTACTCATTGAGCTATGTGAGTGGTTGGAATTCTTCTTCTGGACTATTTGATTGTGGGCACCATGAGTGTCAAAACTGAGTAGAAAACACCTCTTTTAGATAACCAGTAAGTGTTGATGCAATGCTACTGCGCCTGTGATGTCACCATTCTCGCAATATACCTCAATCGCTCGCACCACCAGCTTGTCCCAGTACCATATCCGCTTCGCAAACATCTATACCAAACGATGATCCTCTACTCTGCCGTTTTGGCGGTTGGTTCTTTGGGATGTTCCCAGGTCTCTCACGTCTATGCAACTTCGTGGAGGTTGTGATTGTCAACTCATGTCGCGTTTTCCAGTCCAGTTTCTTGCGAAAATGAAATGTTATGAAACCAACAGCCGGGTTCAGGCGGGACTATGACAACCTTAGGCCTAAATCTACTAAAGTTTAGGCACTCCTTTGCGAAACTTTACAAGTTTTAGGCTCGCGGCGGGGTTGCATACCGTTGGCTTGGGCTATTTGCTCATCAGAAACGGTCAGACATTGTTGCGACATTAGCAGCTCGGAATACCTTCGTGTCGGAGCGGCCACTTGCTGCTGCTGCCCCGAAGGGGGACGGGATGATGTAGAGGTCTAATTCCACATATGGGTCAGACGCTCAAAAATCGACAATAGGCTGATGGCTGTACTTACGTTGGAGAAACTTCGGTGCTGTGCCAGTCAGTCATTGGATTCTATGCTCGAGAGCATATTGTGAGAGATGGCCAGCGTAATGACCAATCGGCATTTGTATTTCGTTCGGATTTGAGAAAGAGACTCGAATGAGGTGGCGGTAAATAGGGGTCATGTCGCTTTTCATCGGTTGTTGGTTTGGTGGCTGGTCTGTAGGGGTGATGTTCGTCTACTATGTATGAATTCTTACGCTGAAATATCTTTTGGAATTGTTCTAAGAAAGTTAGCATTGCGATAACTTATACATTGTGAAGGGAAACTTACGCGAGGCATTGCGATGTTTTTGTTCTAGAAACACAGATGGTCAGAATCCTCTTCAAACAAACATGTCGGGGAACTGTTGTAGCTGAAATAGGGAATACTTGCGGGAAACTGTTGAAAGTGTCTACAGCCAGTGAAACATCAATGTCAACAAAGAACCGTCCGAAAGTGAAGTCATACATACGGGTGGACAGTTGTGGCTCTGGAGAGGACAGTGGTCAGCAATCAGCTCGCCATCAACATTTGACAGGACATCAGAACTTACCAAAAGAAGAGTTTTACGGCTAAAAGAAGAGAGAAATGGTCAGTATAAAATTGAAAAGAATTGAACTTTGATGGTGGGAATGGGCAAACTCACAAAAGTTGACGGTTGGTTACTCTCATATTTGTGGTGATGGCTCATTCCTACACTGTCGCAACAAAGGCTGTTGTTCAGCACTTGCAACTGGCGCGATGATAGAGGCAAAATTATGCTCACGTTGCTTTTGTGCATTGCAGTGTGACCCGTGATGGGTCTCGGCGCTCAGTCGGATTGTTTAGGCGCGTTGGAGATGCTTGTAAATGATGTTTTGATGAAGCGCGTTGATGAACAAGATCTGCTGACGGGGCAGAGGAAAGTGAAGGCGTGGATGAAGAAGGGAAATGAAGCCGTGATCACGGAAGTGGGAGCTTGTTTGAGCCGTTGAGTCAGGAAGGGGTTAAACTTGCCGACTGGCAGTGACGGGCACCTCAGCAACAGGGCAAGAACTGGATCATTTGTTTTGCCACGTTACCGCTCAACCATTCAACCTAATGTACGTAAAAGTTATGGTGAAGCTCGCCTAAACTTAGAGGAGACTTTAGAGCACTTTAGGCCTAAGCTTTGTTAAACTTAGGCCTTTCTCATCTAATAACCAAGTTCCATGGGTCTATGAAACAGTGCCTCTGCCGGTTTGTGTTGTGTGGTTCGCAGGGCCTCATGTCCATCTTTAGGGTCTCTTACAGGTGCATGCTCACCGCCGTATAATTCTATGATCTTCTGATGTTCAGTTCGGATTTTTCGAGGTTTCTGTGCTTGCTAGTCTTGTATGTAGTTCAATCCGCCAAGGGCTTTGTATTAATGTAAATGTAGCTAGTGAAACAGGTGGTAGATTACAGATGCGTCTGCCCCCTTTGCATCGAGAATTTCCTCTCCTATCTAATCAAGTCTCGTGGACGCAGGTTATCCCGCCTCACGACAAATTTCATTAGTTCTTCGGGAGGGAGTCGATCGTCCTGCTCCGAATCCGATTCGCTCAGATTATACTTGAATCTCGGCTCTCCGTACTCGATTTCGGACAACTTGTCGCCTATCAAACGATCGAGCAAGGAGAGAAAATCAGATAGTGGGCTCCTCCACTCGAGTTAAGAGGAATATACTTCAAAATATTCGTGATCGCAATCCATGCAGATCAGATGATAACGAGCCTGTTGTTCACTCTCGACGTGTCATAGAACGTTTCTATCGATAAGTTGAACCACCTTCCTGTATTTCTTGTTGTGGGCCTGGTCCAAAAGTAATCTGATCAAAAAGGCCAAAGATGGAGGATAGTTTTTGACGCGGTTATCCGGACTGAAGTTTTTAATCGTCTGATACCAGGATGGGTCAAACTCAACAGCGATGTTGGTGATGTCCCAAGTCATATGGCGCCCCAATTCATCCTCAGCCTCGAGAAGAAGGGGGTTCCAGCTCTTAACCAGTGGTTCCCATGACACGGCAGTGACGCAAAATATATCTCGCTCCATATCGGCAACTTGACGCCAGGGTTCGTAATCGCCTTTCCTGTGTATAGGTCCTTTTAGACCATAAATTGGAGGAGGAAAAGGTTCCGAGTGAAACCAGATGACATCACCAAGACCTTTATCCTTGGTGTTCCCCTGCATGTCTGGCCAACCCTGATTACTCCAATGCTTCGCAGCAACATCTCGTGACTCTTTGCAAGCCGTCCAAAGACCTGCGTGCCATAGATATGCAGATCTGTTTCTAGGACCAGCCGTTTGCCGTTCGCTGTTCAAGGGGGCGAGTTGCCGGTTCTCATTCAATTTGACGTAGTGCAGACCAAAACGACCACTGCCCCAGTCAAAACATGCATCTTCCCATATTTGCAGCCTAATTTCAACAGGCAAGTTCGGGAATTGGTGGAAAGTGGCTCTACTCATGGTGGATCGAGCGTGGTTTGACGTTGATTTGGAAGTCTGGCAGGTAAAAGAGACAGTGGAGGGTGTTTGTGCTAGGGTTGAAAACTGACTAAGAGCTTTCTTTTATTTGTAAGTAGTTCGACTTAATGGCTGATTGTACAAACTCCGTGTTGGTAAAACCTTGAATTACAATCGCACGAGCTTCTGATATGTGAGTGATGAATTTAAGAAAGTCATCTTGTGACCCATGACTTTAGGTTTATTTCTTCAATCATATTGACAAGGCAACGAACAAAGGTTGAATGAGATCACGTAAAGAAAACACCGCCAAAGCATACTCTCGAGTATCCTGTTTTGGTCTTGTTGATTGCTGACGCTAGTTCTATTAACTCGCTACCATGATCTGAACGCTGAGATTCAGATCCGCCATGTGCTATGGTTTGGACAGGATGCTACTGGCGGATCATTGGAGCTTGTTTGTCCCGTCTCAGAACTGGTATCAGAAAGTCGGCATCGAGGAGGTGGCCCCAACGTCTTTGACAAGCCGCATTCAATTTGCCCAAGAACAAATAATTGAGATTTTCCGCAAAGTCGTCCATAGGACTGTCCGGATGTGTAATATGCGTACTAAAGCTCATAAGCGACCCTAGTTCTACGTACTCCTGGCCGGAATCGAAGATCCTACATCCAGCATGCCCTTTAGTGTCGTATGATTGCCATTCGGATACATCGTCGATCAACATAACCTTCGATCGGCCCCGAAGATAATTGTCGTCGGTTGCAACTTCGAAAAGTAGTCTGATCGCAAAGGCCATCGGTGGATAGAGGTCACGCAGAACAGTGGCGAAGTAGGTAGTCTCCACGGCCTTCTGCATTTCTTCGTCCCACGATGGGTCAAACTTGATACCCATGTTCAGAGGTTTCATCAATCGCCTTCGACCTCGGGCATCTTCGGTTTGTAGATATATCGGTCTCCAAGGTCTCAGAAGAGACTTCCATGAATCGGTGGTTATGACGCATATGTCTCGAGTAAGATCTATAACTTGGTCCCGGGGCAAAGAGTCGGTTTTCTGGGGGGAAACTACCCTCTTGCAACGCCAATCGCGTAACTCACAGCGCATGCTGACGAAAAGACGTTTGAGTTTCTTTACTGCATCATGAGATTCCCTACAAGCTGTCCAAAGCCCTACGTGGACTATATAGGAATGCCATGTGTAGCCAGATTTGTTGCTTGAGTCATCAGTCTTCCAATCGTAGTCCCGAGGCCAGAGATTTCTATTTTCGTCCATATACAGGTAGTGAATGTTCCTGCGCCTCTCTCTCAGCTGCAAGCAAGCATATTGTCAGATTTGCTCACGCAGCTCGAATGGTAGTCGGGGAAAGGAGTGGAATGTGGTGATGTCCATGATGAGCTTCAGGTGTCGGCTGTCACTGGCGGCTCAAGTGTTGGCTGACGGACAAAGAATAAGGAGGGAGTCGGACAGCAGGTGCTTGTTTACAGACAGTGGCAGCTCTGAGACTTTATGCGAGAGACTATCCGGAGTGAGTCAGTGTCCCAAAGAAGCTTTCTTGGATGTTGTATATCATTGGATGGCCGTGTATGTAACGCATTTCTTTTTTTTGTTTTTGTTTAAACCTTAAAGTGAGGTTCAAGCGGATAATGGCAGCAGCTTGAACTGTAAAAATCCCAAAATATTAGTTCACCAAAAACGAGAAGAAGAGATGGCCTTTGGGGTTTTCACATCGACAGTTATTTGCAGATACTACATGTAGAAGCTACTATATGCAGAAATTTTATTTATGACCGTTGAATCTCCTAACATTATCTCCTGAGTAACCCATAGCCAACGCTTTACATCACACATCCTCTGCATACAAAGTCTCAGCAAAGGCCAAGCAGGGTCCTCTCTCTTGAGCCCAAGATGCAAAAACAGGGCAAAACACCACAGCCATCTAAACTACCATCTCCATCACACAGCTGGCTTTCCCTTTACGGTTGATTCATGTGACGAAGTTACCGAGGCCGCCTTCTTCATCTTGGGCTGCATAGCATTGCGTCTTGTGATCTTGGGCACCACCTCCTTATCACGCCTGGCCATGACTCGAACCAATTTCCGCACAGACAACCTATCGGGCGGAAGCCCGTAATGACCCCAACCCCGAGGGGATGTCTTTCGTTTCCAGGTCAATCTGTGTTTGAGAAGCCGGTCAACCTGATCCAAGAACCTGAGCATGGAAGTGTGTCGGACAAGACGATTTGTGGCCAGAGAATCGCTCGGGTCGATTCGGATATACTCATATTCGCAATCGTAATATACCGAGTGTTCCTCGGCGTTGCTAACGCTCTTCCAGCCAGATTGTTTGTCGATAAGATGGATGAACCGCGGTAGAATCATTTCCTGAGTTGCGATTTCGCAACAGATTCTGATAGCGAACGCTAAAGTGGGTGATAAGCGGTCCGTCGGTCGGTACTTTTCGAGCCCAGCAAGTTCAGACGTCCAAGCTGGGTCAAACTCGACAGCATATTCATGTATTTTAGATTCGCTGCGGTCAAAGGGGAGCTTGGATAGAGCAAGGGGCCAATAGCTGTCCGGGGTAATACAGAACATGTCCCCGGGGAATGTAGCCATGAGCCAGGGCTCGTACAGTTCTCATTCTCGCGCCCACCCATTCCAGGTCACATCTACTCCTTCTTCATTGCCATAAAACCATTTCCTCAGACCGCCATTCAAATCCGCGTCCACATACTCGGGATTCTCTTTGTAGAATGAGTCGTTGAACCAGTACTTTCGCATGACCTCATGAGATTCTTTGCAGGCCATCCACAGACCGGCGTGCCAGAGATAGGCAGACCGATTAGTGGGACGAGGTTTATTCCAACTGCAGTCTAGAGGAAAGAAATCGCCCGTATTGACAAATCTCACGTAGTTTATGCCGTAGGATTGCTTCTTCTGAGCCTGTGGCATCAGACTTTCTACGCCAACACTGCCCCAGTTCCATGGTGAATAGTCGTAAATATTTGTCGTCCGTTGTTTGATTGCTGACTCCCAGATTTGGAGCCGGAGCTCACACGGGAGCTGTGAGAAGATATGGAAAGTGTTGGGGGCCATTATTAGAAGCTTTTCGGCCTTGATACGTGAAGGTAAAAGATCTGGAGTTAAATTTGGGATAAGGACGAGTTCCTGAAATGGATCTCTGTGTTCCTTAAGTATGCCTTTGTTGTGTTGCTTTCTTACAGAAAGTAAATAAAACATCATATAAAGTCACACCCAGATCTCCCCAATCAGGTCAAGAGTATGTTTCAAGGTTCAATTGAGAACTAACAAGCTCTCTAGCCCATGATAGACACATCAGTCCTCCCAAACTTGATTCTAGAAGCATATGAGGACCAGAAACACACTATTTTACAACATGGTTTCCCGGCAATATTGATCTAGAACTATCCCATTTAGTTTCTGTGACTTCTCAACCAAAAGCCCTATTCCATCCAGGTCTTGGAGTCGAATCCTCGCATAAGTACCAGAACCATCTTTTTCGATCAAAGTATCTGTTCTCTCCCCACCCAAAATTGTGCTCGAATGGCCAAAGGCATCATAGACACTCTCTATAGTGCAGTTGACACCTCACTCCTTTACAGCTCCTGCTTGATTTTGCCGCAAAGCAATGATAGAAAAACAATCCCTTATAACGAATTTCGGCCCACGCCCAAGACGAAAAGCGCCCAAATTTTGGAGCCTATCCTCCAACAGTCTGTCCAGATGGTCGAAGAATTCGAGCACCGGGCTATGGCAAACGATCCGTGCAGAAGATGACCCACGTTTCATGCTTATTTCTACATATTCGTGATCGCAGTCATAAAATGTGTCGAGACGAGGTTGTGTATTGTCGTCGTTTATCCATTGAACATTCCTATCGATAAGCCTGATGGGTGGCGTGGTGAAATTTCTGGTATGTGCTGCCTCAAACACCAGCCTGATCATAAAGGCCAGCGAAGGCGGAAACTTCTTTATGGGGTAGTAGTTATCATTCTGCGATAGCTTGATGTTCCAAGAAGGCTCGAATTCGAAGGCGAGCCCTCTGAATACTCGTAGTGGGTAACAGTTCCCACGGCGCACGGCGCGCCCTGCCCTGTTTAATGCGACGCAGAAAATATCTCGCGAGGGGCAGATAAAGATTTTCTGTTGCTTTGATACATTATTCCTTTGTCTTTGATCAATAGGAGGAATTATTGATACGGGCCCTCTCCCATGGTACCATTCGCGCTTGTCCAAGGTGAAGTCCAAAGTGGTAAGGCCAAAGCTAGAGCAGCTGAATTCGACATCTTGCTGCTCTTGATGCTTCATTGCAGCTGCTCAGGAGTCCCAACATGCCGTACAGATACCTTGTTCCAATTCGCAACCTGACCTTGGTCTCCGAAATTCGTCTTTGGCGGTTTTATCCAGTGGAACCGGAAATCCATCATGGTCAAGGCCGATATAGTGCAGGCCACCGGGAATGGCCTCTGGTGAGCGAAATGAGGATTCCCATATCTGCAGCTGGATTTCGGAGGGCAGTTCTGGGAATTTATGGAAGCTTGAGGCTGCCATTGTATGTCGACTTTGAGGAGAAAAAAGATAGAGAGACTCCATGATGCTTGGTAGAATAAAACATGTTTCTTATATAGTGGCCTTTCATTTTGACTTTACGGGAGGGTTCACAACAAGGGCTTTGTTTGTGGTACAGTTTAACTTTTGACGCTTGTCATTGGCACGAGATGCTGTTTCTGAGGCATCATCTGCCCGGTTGATCAACTCAAAATAATACACTCATAAACGCAGCTCAGGCAGTATAGACTGTCAGTTGCAATCACAGTTGCCCGCAGCATCATTCGTTGCCGGAGATGGCTACTAATATGCAATTACTTGACAGAAGTGCGTCTAGACTACCCACTCGTTGTGCGCTCAATAACTACCAAAAAGGGAATGCGAGTAAACGAACGTCAAAAGCGGCCAATGACTCATCCGGCACCCGACTCGGGAATAGCGTCAAATATGGCTGGGCGCTCAAGAGCCTCATCCGACTACAAAAAGCATCTGCATCACCAGTATTCAATCCATCATTCAATTACATCACATCAACCACTATAGCTTCGTTTCGCTTCCAACACATCAACTATCATGGACTACTCGACAGAGCACATCGCCAATGCTTACCAGTCGAAGCGACTCGAGTATGTCCGAGCCGACAAGACCGATGAGAACTTTAAAAAGATTGCTCTCATCATCCTCCAAGATCCTGTCATCCAGGCCCTCTCAGCACCCACCATGCTCTTGCCAAAGGGGCCCAAGGAGGTCGACTCATACATAGACTCGGTTGTCAACTCTTTGCTCGGTGTCGCGATATATCTCAGAGGTGATGTCGGCGACGACAAGACAGAAGACAAAGACAAGAAGCCCCCGACTATCATTGGCGTCATGTGCATCGGCTGGGGAGGCATCTCACCCACCGTTGCCCATCATCGAACTGCCGAGATTGGTATCTCTCTTGTCAAAGAGCATCAAGGCAAGGGCTACGGAAGAGAAGCCATCAACTGGATGGTAGACTGGGGCTTCCGACACGCTGGTCTGCATACAATCGGCATGACTACTACCGATTATAACCCTCGAGGAGTCTATCTTTACGAGAGTATTGGTTTCAAGCTGGAAGGCAGAAGGCGGCAGACAGTTTGGATGAATCGCAAGTGGTACGATCTGATCGAGTTTGGAATGACGGAAGAGGAATGGGAATCACTTCGGGGTCTTGATACGAAACAAACGTAATATATTTGGTCAATAGCTACTCATTTGAAACATGTCCGCGAAATGGCCTGCATCGTATAGGATTCTGTACAGGGAAACTGACGCAAAAGAGGCAGGCCCATGCTCATGTTGACCAGGGTTGGTGACAGTCGAATGGCGAAATCATGTACGTGTAGGCAGACCCCAGGGAGCAAGAAAACACCGGACCTTATTATTGGGTGTCAAAATAAACTTAGCAAAGAGTTCCCTAAGCTTGGATTAGATTTACCCAGTATTTTCAGCACTTAGGGCTAAGGTCCTGAGTTTTCTTTCCTCCCCTAGGCAGAGTATTTCGCGGCGCATCGTAGTCGTTCAGCTCACGCTCTATTGAACATGGCGCCGTCAATAGGTTTCCTATCTGGAAAGACAGCGATTTGGATTGGCAACTGTCTCGATAGACGAAAAGAAGCCTCGGAAGCTGCTTCAGTTCGCAAGTCTTTCAAGGTTGCTGGGTAACAGCACATTGATCTGGGTTGTGGAGTGCGTTTGAAGGAGGGCTGCCGAGAAAAACAAGTCAGCCAGTCGTTGACCGACTGAATTGTAGCATTTGTCGCGAGGGGAGAATGACTGCCAAACGACGTCGCGATGCGTGCGTTCCTCAGAGAACAACACATTGACGGAGGGACAGAACAGTAGCAGCAGGAGCATGGCATCGACGGCACAGAAAGCGGTTATCTGAAACGGCTGTGCATATTCCAGTGGATGGGATGGTGTTCCCTCCTGAGAGGGCACCCCTCATCCGATGCCCCGAGGTGCATGCATATGCTTCCAGAATCAGGCGACAGCCAGAACCGCTGTATGGCTTTGGGTACGTATGGCCGGAGATGTAGGTTGCAATGGAGCAAGTTACGTCAAGTGATTGCATCAAGGAGCAGAATCATCTACCCGTACCAAAACGCATCAAGGCAGTCGTAATGATTCAGAAAGTTGGATTCTGAAGACAGGCCAGTCCAACCTTCTCGAGTAGTGAAGCGAAGCAGGCGTTGAGATGTCGTGCACAAGCACTGATGCTAGCCAAAGGAGATGGCCGAAATGGCAAGGACAGCAACCATGAGTGTAACCGGCTAGTTTTGTCACTGTGCGCCAGCTTCTTGCCACCCCTTTGCGTCTGACACAGCCTCGAAAGGCTGGAAATTGTGAAATGGCACTGCGGAGCACATAGTATCAGCGGCATCTGTCCCTCGACAGCCCGGCTTTGCCCCCAAAGACGCCTAATATGTCATTTTTGGCCGAAAAGTCAGTGGTCCCGATGGCTGTCTCTAATGCCATGATAAGGGCCTGCCGCCTCTGTGTGATGAGAAGTTGAGTTGGATTGTATCGACGGCAGAGCAGCAAGCCCTCTTATACGATCATCCACACAGTCATCAGGACATCTAGCTTTTCAGTCAAAAGCAACATCATAAGTGCCAGTGAGGTCAAGCTGGGCTGTCGACAGGAAAAAAAGGAAAACATATCACAGTCGACAGCCCACTGCCGAAGCGAAGCGCCCTTCCCACGATGATACAACGCCACGTGATGGATTGTTGACAGCGTAGAGATGTGCAAAGCATGTAGCTGCATTGGAGATCTGTCGTTCGTAGTTGTGTGAGGATCGTCGATGCCGTAACTTGGTCGTATCAGAGTCGGTCGTCGTGCGTTTGGATTAACATCGCAGGCGGACATAAATGAGTCGTCGCTGTGTTTCGCCATCGTCGTCGTCCATCGTATTCGTCGGTCGCTCGGTCGTGAAGGGTCCTTGTATCGTTGGTGCTGGCTTACTTGTGGCGTCGTTTATCGTTCGGAGATCGTCAGTCGTTGTCGAGTCGTTGACGTCTTTGTTGTCCGCGCATTGTGGTTGGTGATTGTTGACTGGTAGTGGAGGGTCAGTGCTTGAAGATGTAGATGGAACAGGCAGTACTGACAGTTGCTGATGTCGAGAATGCTTTAAGGTTGATGACTGGCGTGCGGTCTGTTGGGTTTGGGATGACGAAGGCGTCGCTGAACGCGCGTAATAAGTGCGTCTGCAGAGCCATCCATCGCCACAAGAGGATATGTTATTGGGCAACTTTCTGTCGCAACGCGAGCGACACGTTTGACAATCGCGTCATCCCGTCTTCTCCGACGCCGCAAGAAGAGTACGCGATGGAGGCAGCGGCGGAGTCAACCAGTATCACCGGGAGCCTTTCTCGCCTTTTCTCCAGAACTCTGGCACAAGGACCATGGTCGGTCGGAGCCCAAATGCTACCCTCCGGGGGATGCTGAAACCAAGAGTCGAAGTCAGAGGCCAGCTCTTGCACAGGTCTCATCTACGCACATGCCGAAGTAGAGAATTCTCAGCAGTGATCAACACTGTATGCGCAGTCCCGCCTTTCCCTGGACCCAGCCGAATATGAACGTGGGCAACATTCACGCGTTGCGGAGAGCTGTACGCAGCTTCATTTGTACGCACGTTCAGCGCTCACAATTGCAGAGACCATCGCGTCTTGGACATTTGGCCGACGATCAAGGGCTCAACATCCAACGATCCTTGGGGAGATACGACTGCCATTGCGAGACCCGATCCTTGTCTTGCTTGGTGAGAGTTATTAGGTCCAACAATAAGGTCAGGAACTTTGGCATCGGGGAAATGCAATCGAGGACCGACTATCCGAATGTGCTGCCATTGTGCTTTCGTATGGGCGACAGGTCGAGCCATTGACGTGCCTCTTCGCTGATGCCCTCCGTTCGCCACGTTTGTCTGGAATTCATGAGGAGCTTCTCCCACGGTGTTGATAAGTGAGGCAAAAGTGCACTGACAGCAAAGCTCGAAGACCTTCCTTCGCGAAATCGTTTCTCGCCTCTAGAAGTTTGTCTCCCGGAAACAAGAACGAAGGACCAAGACGTCCTCCGAACATTACATGGAGAAGGCGTTGTGTCGCATGTCTACATCCCTTCACAATCGCCTCCGACCGCTCAAGGCGGAATACAGATCACCGACCTGATCGCGGCCTCCACTGGCCTGTACATGACGATCTTGTCTCTTTGCGTGCTCTAGGCGTCAACATGTTCGTGCTAACGGTTGCACGAATGTGGTTCGAGGAACGATTGTGGGACACACTATTGGGTCGCGCTTGTGGAATGCAGTTGTCGCACAAGATTTCCTGTCGTTCCAAGGCGAGTGGTAAGGGATCGTGCTGCCTACAAATACCGTGGTGGATTGATTCTGAACAGAGTAGCCGATCGCCTTACCATCGGTAGGCAAGAATCTAGTAAAGCCACATCAGGAACCACGAGAGGGACGTGCCCAAGTTCCGCCAAGAGATAACGGCTGCTTCTTCATCACGAGGTCTCAATTGGTCTCCCCCATCGGAATTTGTATTGTGAGAAGACCGGGTTGTAAAGAAAGAGACCTGAGGGTCCGTCGGAGCGAATGAAGTATCCCCCTTCTTGACGATCCGATTGCGAGTCGAATAGCTCGATAAGGATCAGCCACCCTCGTAGAAGATTACGTCCAAGCGGCGGTGTCAATCTGTGGCAAAATTACAATCGACTATGGAGGTGCCTGAAGCCTTTGGCACCAACCAGCGTATTGCGACAGTGTGTATGGCGCCTGTCTCGGGATCAGTACTTCCTTGGTAGCGTGGATTGGCTGGTATGATGGTGAAGACAGTATCACGAGGGTCGCCATCGAAATATAATCTGTGTGGGCGGAGAAGATGGGCAGCAATGCCCATGTCACCGCGGCATGTTCAGCTCAGAAATGGCGGATATCCAACATGGGTTATCGTTTGTTCATTCCTGTCTACCGGCTTCGCTGAAACTGCGGCAGTGTTCTCCCTGTCCCGACTGGTTGCGAGCTTCAAAGCACCGGGATAAAGATGGTGTTAGGTCCATGACACACGTCAACGGCAGGTCAGTCTCGCCGGAATTGAGGAGCAGGGGAGGGCGGTCCAAGAGTGCGTCAAGGTAAGCTGAAGATGCGTCGCAACGATGCGAGTGAGAAATATTCCGGTTCGACTGGTCGCAAGTAGCACTCATGGCTGGGTGCTGGGTCCAAGTGCTTTTGCAAGATCCAAGTAGTGGGAGACACTGTCAAGCACGGTGGAATCATTTCGGGGACTGGTCGACGACAACAAGAAACGGTCAAATGCCAGTGACTCTGTTTCCTAAGGGGAGTATTCTTTGTGGCATGAGCCTCAACATTTACGTAGCTGTCTGACAGCCTCCAACCATCTTCAGCCAACAACACTCGACAACCTGTGCAAGATCGCAGATTCGCCAAATGCCGAGGTCTTGGCTGAGGCGTTTCACATCCGAGTCTTCAGCGGCGAGGAACTCTCCAGTGCTTCAAGTGAACACTGAAACTTTGCTGGTTTGGTCCGAGCCAATCGGCAGCAGCAAGCGGTCGACATGCCCGTCGTCTCTTGGTGACATTAAAGGTGTCGGCGCCGTAAACAACTCCAGGCGGTCGCTTCAAAGTCAGGTTTCGGCACCTGGGCTGGAGATGGCGCGGGTGCCCATAGGGTTGAGGCATCTTGGGTCAAGAGTCGATGATAAGTTTCTGGCCTGCATTCCAGCCCGATAACAGGCATCAGAGGCAAAATGACGCCCTTTATCTTTGGGGAAAGCTTGACAGGATGTTGAAGTCGTCTCGGAAGGCTTTGTCCAGTGCGACCGGCTCAGGAACAGTGAATCACAACAGCATGGCGCTGAGGTTGAAGCAGACCACTTCTCGCGATGTCTATGACGAGACGAGCACAGGATGAATCAAGAGGGCGTAGGCGATAATTTTGAGAGCGAAACTAACAAAATGTGGTTCGTCTTCTTCGCTTCGTGAGAGTTGAGCTGGTCCACATGGCCAGTTACAAACTGTTCAGCGACTCAATACAAATCAGCTAGACGACAACGAGGGCGTCTAAATCCCCGAGTTCCGGGTAGGCACAGCTCTCAAGACTTTGTGCCTGCGATACAGCTTGCAAATCCCCGGGCAGTATTCACAGTAATAGCAGAATCGAGTCACCGCATGAAGCCATATCGTTTCGCAACTTGTTGCCGCCCAGTATCGACGGCAATGATAGGTCCGGTCGGGTGCAGTTTTATCGAGTCGAAGGGGGCGGATGTAGCATCTTCGTTTATGCTGGCGGTCATAGCTTCGATTCGGTCAGCAGCAAGGAGGTGCTGGTGGAAACACCACAGTTTCGTCTGTAACTTCGACTTGTTCGCCGGCTGGAGACTTCGTGTTGCGCTCCTCGCCATCGTTCTATTGATGTGTGGAAAACTATTTGCCCATCTCAATCAAGAGCCGGCCGGGCTGCGCAGCGGTGTTTAGGTCGCCTCTTGTTATTGCAATTGACGTGACCATGACAGGTCAAGGCGAGGTGCCTCCCAGAGTCGCACGCCTCTGTGATGCCACAAGGGCTGCGAAGACACGTGGACAACCGTCGAGGAAAGCAGCGGGAACTCTTGATCTTGCTTGAGAGTATGAAGATCGCGTCTGGGTAAATCGGGGGGGTATGTCCAAGGCAGGGCCTGTATTCTGTGGCGTCATTTCACAACGGGTCTGCTCGAACGGCTTGAATAGCCACGGTTGGCCGTAAGCACGCTTGCGGTGCTACAAAAGTTGTTCGGTTTGCGACGGTATTGTACGATCATATTGAAGTCTGGCTTCAAGGAAACGGTATGCATCGGGGTGAAGGAAGCAGGCCGTTGGCACGGGCAATGCAAGGTAGACGCTAGCCGAGACACAAAGGTTGTCTGGCGACGATGATTGCAAATAATGCGAAAACTTCAGTGGTCGGAAAGCGCGGTTTCAAGGCGGTAATGACGTCGGATTGATTCGAGGGCAAAATGGACTGGGTTCACGGTGTTGCATGGCTGGCAAGGCGTCGGCGCTGGGACAAGCCAGGTCGAAGTGCCTGATCACGGAGGTGCGAGAAAGGAGACGAGTTGCAGAGACAGGAATCGAGAGTATTTCATTTTGGTGCAGAATGGTGAATGCGGCTATTTGTGCGGCTCTGAGCCTTGGTGTGTTGATTGACAGTTGCAAGTTGGAAAGAGGAGATTGCTTCAACGATGCTGGCGGCAGAAATCCTGGGCTCGCGACCGTTAGTCATCGGCGATAACCAATGATTGCAAGGTAGCAGAATTCTGCCAAAACAATCGCGCTTGAAGGGAGAATCTTGAGTTATTGTGATTATAGTAAAAAAGACACAGGCGACAAGTCAATAGGCCTTGAATAAAGTTATGTCGTTGGTACCTTAGAGATTATTTTTGCGCTTCAGTGGGTAATTTCTTGTGCCCAAATTGTGGGTGGGGTTGGCCTGTCTGCTCGCAAGCGTCATGACCTAGCACGCGAGGAGCGCTCAACACAAATGAATTATAATCGACGCAAACTGCTTGCGGTACTTGGGAATACAAGTCTATTGAGGCTGATTCTAGCCATGAAAAACTCCACTTCTTTGGACTGATGCTTAAGCCCTCCCGTCGTGCCTCAGATATCACGGGCTTCAAGTAATTGCCTACCCTGGATCTACACTTTCCATGGAGTTCGGTGTCAATCACATCCAAATCCTCAGAACTAGCATTCAAAGTAAAAACTATTCCTCTTCGACAATCTATCGCTCTAATTTTTACACTTGTGCCAGTTAATCAGGCACCGAAGTGGAGCGCCCGAGTCGAGGTTGATCTACTCGTAGTAATCATCACTGACTTTGTAAGCTTGCGACCACCAAACCGTCATGTCGTGTGTCATCGAGACTGTAAATGTTACATTAAGTTCAGATTGCATTGGCTTACGGCGGCTTTCTGTTCATGAATCTCAAAGACTAGCTCCATTTCGCCATGCGCGAGGAATCATGTTTGGCTTGGAAAAATGTACGTATTTGTATGCTAAATCACGAAATAACCTATCATTAATCTACCTATCAGAGAGATTATCGTGGTTGGAAACGTCGCTCACTGAAACTTCCTCCTGGGAATCTAGTATGGTATCCTCGAAGGTTCACTTCCCGTTGTACGTTGTCCATCCACCCCCGTGCTTCTGGTGTAGCAGTCCACATATCAGGAATAGGGGCCCGGGCATTAGTATTGAGGTCCATTCTTGTATCTCGAGGCTCTTGTCTGTCGACCTGGTAGCTTCTGCTAACCTGGGGATATCCATTATCCCTGCCAACTTCAGATTGCACATCCCTCAAGAACCTACGCTCGTTTTCCCGCCGTTGTTCGTTCGCTCTCCTTGAGTAGTGCTGCTGGTTAGCTCCCAAACGTGTACCTGGTTCGACTTGCCTGTATCCTTCACCGGGAATGTATTCCCACTGTGGGCTTTCATCAGGGTTTCGCCTTATTTGAGGTTCAACTCTTGGGGATTCATGTGGTTGGGGTAAGCTTCGCGCAACACGGTATCCATCAGCAACTACAGAAGGAGAAAAGCCCCAATCGCCGGAACGAGGAGTAGGAAGGACAGGAGAAGTAGGCGATAGCCATGGCGTTGGGTTATACATTGGCCCGACCATCCTTCTCGTCTTGGGTTTCCAGTTTGAGTTGAGATTTCGGGCTCGGTAGCGTCTCATGTAGTCCTCGTAAGCAGCATCGTTGTTGGCCTGGCTGTCAGATGCAAGCGGTGTTCGGTCATGATCGTTCTGTCGGTAAGCCATAATGAAAGTTATCTTGATATATTACTTGGAAAACGAGCAAGAAGAGAAGGAGGAGTATTTATACTTGACACCGACAGCTCATAAGTGTAGCGTTGAGACCTATGATCTTTTGATAAGTGATCGACACCTTCCGGGATCATTGAGTGTCTGCCAAAGTAAGGCAATCAAGCCGTGAATTGACTGACATTATTAGCTTGACTTGGGTGAAGAACATCTTATTCGAGATAACAATCAGGTTCGTGTCCGGAACAAACTCAGTTCTGTTGATGCTGTTTGTGAAAAGAAGTGCATACATGCCAGAGAGACTGCTGGCGGAAGTGAATCTGCTTGTGTGAACTTGAATTTATGGTCTTGCCATGCCAGCAAAGGAGGCTACTGCTAACTCTTGGACAGCTGCTTCTGGAATAATGAGACTGAAAGATGCTTCGCCATTGAATGCAAAGATGATGCTGTTGATCTATAACTAAAAGCACTTAGTCTCTATCCAATCAAAAGGCAAGATGGCCGAGCGGTCTAAGGCGCTGTGTTCAGGTTCGATTCGAACTAGCAACGATTCGCAGTCTCGAAAGGGGCCTGGGTTCGAATCCCAGTCTTGTCAATTCTTTTTGTCCGTGTCGCGATGTGCCAATCGACCATGATTCTCTTTTGCCGCGTCAAATGGGTTGAAGTCTCAGCCATCCTAAACTTTTTGTTTCAAGTCATTAGTTACCTTTGCTCAAAAGGCATCGCACGAGTGCGAATCGGAAGAGGCTGGCATGTCTTCACTCCATGTGACTCTCTCCCTCTCCACTCGCCCCCAAATCAATTGGTGCGCTTCAATCGGGGATGTCGGAGCCGGAGTCGACTCGCCAAGTTCAAAGCGTTTTGTCGATCTTTATCAAGTTTGAGAATTTCCCCGCAGACTCCCCGGAGCCATTTGATGCTGGTTCCTTGCCTCTACCCCGGATTTTATCCATGAGTTTATTCACGAACCGAACGAACCCTCTCGAGTCATGCTGAATTTTCGCAAACGACCGGCGATGTTCGGCTGCGGCGCCGACCGTTGGCTAGAAACAGCTAACGCGGAAACATGAGTCCATTCTGGGATCGTCATCTATAAAAGAGGTTTTAGTCTCGCATGGGATATTCTGTCCCCCCTTCTCTTGAGTCTCTCATTGATGCTTGTTCCCATCCATTGGGTCGTTCAGCTTTGCCCAAAGATACGTACACAAGATCAACACCATGTCTGAGAAGCGTGACGAGCTTGAAAAGTCCGATGTACTCCATCGCGATCTGACCAATGACTTGCCCCCGGAGGTACTTGCTACTGAGATTGCGCACGAAGTTGAGAACAACAAGTTCTCACCATGGACACCGTCTATGTTTCAGCTCTATGCTGTGCTCTTCGTGGCCTATTGCTGTGGTTGTCTCAACGGCTATGATGGCAGTTTGATGGGTGGACTGAACGGAATGAAGTCATATCAAAGAACTTTTGACATGTACGCTCATAACCACCTTGCGGCGAGTGGCATTTGACTGACCTGCTACAGGAAATCTGATGGTTCTGCTACTGGCATTGTTTTCATGATCTACAACGTAGGCAGCATTGCTGCAGCCCCGACTGTCCCTTTCACCACTGATCGTTTTGGACGACGCGCTGGAATGTTCACTGGTGCTCTCATCATCATTATCGGTACTTGTGTTCAGTGAGTAATTGCCTCAACTTGCTGCAGGCAGCGCTAACAACAATGAAGGGCAACCGCGAAAGCCATGCCTCAGTTCATGGGTGGTCGATTCCTCCTCGGCTTTGGTGTCTCGTACTGCTGTATCGCTGCCCCGACCTACGTCAGCGAGCTTGCTCACCCCAAGGTAAGCAGCATTGCCAAGTCTGTGTAAACTCTGCTGACAACAGTTTAGTGGAGAGGTACTCTCACTGGTCTCTACAACTGCATGTGGCCTGTTGGAGCTATTATCGCTGGCTGGGCAACCTATGGCAGCGCTTACATCAAAGGCAACAATGGCTGGAGGGTCCCAGTCTGGATTCAGCTTGTCACCTCTGGTATTGTCGCAATCTTTGCATTCTTCCTCCCAGAATCTGTAAGTCTCTTTGCCAAGATCATCACCGCTCACTTACTGACCAAGTAACAGCCCCGATGGTTGATCGCCAATGATAAGCACGATGAAGCTGCCGCCATCCTCGCCAAGTATCACGGCGAGGGATCAGTCGACCATCCCATCGTCCAACTACAGATGAAGGAGATGATGGCCCAGATTTCGACTGAGGCTTCAGACAAGAGATGGTGGGACTACCGTGAGCTGTGGAACTCGCACAGCAACAAGCGACGTCTCATCTGTGTTCTCGGTATGGCTATCATGGGTCAAGCATCTGGTAACTCGCTATCAAGCTACTACCTTGTCGCTATGATGAACACGGCTGGTATCAAAGATGAGAAGCTTGTTCTTGCTCTCAACGCCACCAACAGCGTTCTTGGACTAATCGGCTCAGTTATCGGTGCCCGTCTTACTGACCGTGTTGGCCGTCGACCTCTTCTCATTTACAGTATTCTCTTCTGTTCAGTCATCTTTGCCGTCATCACAGGAACATCCAAGATGGCTGTTGACGACGCAAGCAACAAGAACGCAGCCAATACCACCATCGCGTTTGTCTTCCTCTTCGGTGTCGTCTTTTCACTTGGATGGACCGCCCAACAAAGCATGTACATCGCAGAGACACTCACTACCTCGACACGAGCCAAGGGAACAGCACTGGGCAACTGGGCTTCTAGCTGTATTTCCCTCGTCCTGGCCTACTCTTCGGGACCAGCCTTTGAGAAGATTGGTTACTACTTCTATCTCGTTTTCGTGTTCTGGGATCTGCTTGAGGCTGCGTTTATCTTCTTCTTCTTCCCAGAGACGAAGGACCGGACGCTGGAGGAGCTTAACGAGGTCTTTGATGCCCCTAATCCTGTCAAGAAGTCACTGGAGCCTAGGACTGCTGAGACGGTTCGGGCAACTATGAACCAGAATGAGGCAAAGGTCATTGATGTTTAGATAGTTGTGAACTGTGTGGTATAGAAAGACTGTCGGTCGATATTCATATAGATCTCAAAGAGTCTGGTTAATCTGCAATGTTATACCTTCGCTATGCTCGTTCATATTGAAGAAATTAGTGAATCTCATGACGATGGGAGGCACTCACGGTTCTCGAGAGGACGATCTTATGCCACATGAAAACAGTAGTAGTCGCGCATCATCGTAAGTTCAGCGATTCCTGTTACCCTCCATGTATAACTTCGGGCCCCTGGTAGAGGACGTATCACTGACTGCATGTCGCCGCAAACCTTGAGTGGACCATGCCAATTGTCAGACTGGATTTGCAACATGGTATGAGAGCTCAGACGGTGAAGGAAGCATGCCATTGCTCCGTCGATGGTCCGATGCAACATGTACCACGAGGTGCAAAAGTCTTGGCTCAAGGACCGTTGGAACAAGGGTATGTTCGTCCCGGCTCCGACACCCCCGGGCCATCACTTGATCTCCCCCTGTCGATTACCCCAGACCTTTCACTCCTTGTTTACTGTCGGCCCCGCATATGGGCCGGCAGATCATGTGAAGTACTCACAAAGGAAGGTTCCTATGATTGACTCAAGGTCTCCAAATTGGTGCGCATATGAAAGAACCCGTTGGAGGAAATTGCAATGCCGATCATATAACCTTAAACTGGTTTCCAAGTACCGAATACCCGAGTAGAGCTAACCAGAAGTCGAGTGTGAAGTAGCGGAGACTTACCCCAGAAAAGAGATTCTTCACATCGGGCCATGTCTCGCCGGCGTCCGAGCATACCGCAAAGAGAATTAAGCCGGAGCGAAGTATAATAAGAACCTTGAGTGATCCTCGAAGCTGGTCCCGATCAAGCTCCAAGAACTGCAACTGGGTACTTTGAAGAGGTCCCATACCAGATCGCATGATGGCTCGCTTCTTCTCAACTCTTCTTGCTGTGCTTGCAGCCAGCACCGTTCAGGCTTCTCTTGACATCGTGTCTGGAGCAACATGGACAGCTGTGAGTTAACTGAAAGCTCAGTGCATGAGTGCTTTGCTGACCGGATTTCACCCAGACCAACACTGGTGAGCATGTCCAAGCTCACGGCCATGGCTTGATGTAAGTATCACACCCTATCTTGTCGGGCAGAGATCTGACTCTTCAAGTGAGGTTGATGGAACCTACTACATGATTGGCGAGGACAAGACAGACGGGACATACTTCCAGAACGTCAACTGCTACTCCTCCACCAACCTCGTCGAATGGACATACCGAGGTGCTCTCCTCTCCCGCACCAGCGACGCAGGCGACCTCGGCCCCAACCGTATCGTTGAAAGACCCAAGGTCATTTACAACGATCAGACAAAGAAGTATGTTCTTTACATGCACATCGACAGCCCAGACTACAAGGATGCGCGGGTTGGTATCGCAACTGGTGATAGTGTATGTGGCAAGTACACCTATCACCGAAGCTTCAGGCCTCTTGGTAAGCAGAGTCGCGATATGGGACTTTTCAAAGATGATGACGGATCTGCATATCTCATGACTGAAGACGTAAGCCTTATGCTGTGAACTTTGGTAGAGGACAGGGACTAATCAAATTGTAGCGAGAGTATGGAACGCGAATCATGGCATTGTCAGATGACTACCTTAACGTCACTGAGATCACATACGAGTGGCAGTACTTTGCCGAGTCCCCAGCTATGCTGAAACAGAACGGATACTACTTCATCTTTGGCTCTCATCTGACCGGATGGAATGCCAATGATAATGTAAGCGGCCGTTCCGACCCTTGGCTATACTTCAAGGTTACTAACGCAACACCCCAATAGATCTACAGCTACGCCAAGTCACTGTCTGGTCCATGGTCCAACTGGACCGAGTTTGCACCTGTTGGATCAAAGACCTACCAAAGCCAGGTCAGCTACATTCAGCCCCTCGGTAACGGTAATGCCATCTACATTGGCGATCGCTGGGTCTCTACGAACCTCGCCGCTAGCACCTACGTCTGGCTTCCGCTCAAGGTCGATGGCTCCAAGGTGACACTCAGCTGGTACGACTCCTGGTCGCCAAACCTCTCAAAGGGCACTTGGTCCGAGACAAAGATGACAAAGATCGAGGGTGAGGCCGCAACGATGGCCAATGATGCCAGGGTCATCTCCTGCAGCGAATGCAGTGGCGGTAAAGCCGTCGGCTACATAGGAGGCGACAAGAAAGGCACTCTTACCTTCAAGAACATCAAGAGCTCGGGTGGTACAGCGACTATCAACGTCAAGTACCGAAATGGCGATACCGGATCACGATATGCGACTGTCAATGTCAACGGCGAATCTCAGAAGCTTGCGTTCTTGTCCACCAGCCATCTTTCTCAGACGGGACTGAGCAGGGGTTTCTTTGATCTAAAAGAGGGGTCGGATAACACGATTACTATCTCCAATGATGATGGATGGGGCCCGGATGTGGATGCGCTGATGCCCCCAGCGGCATAAGTTGGACAGAAAGACGATGCTGACGATATAGTTGTAAGGTGTTCTGAGGGGAAGCAATTCTAGCCCCTCTCGAACACACATTGTCAGCCACATCTGTCGAGTGTGTTCTTTTGTAGCACATAAGCTAGTCATTGAATTCAATTTGACTCAATCGATGACCCATAAGTGAAAATCGTGAGGCAAGAGTTTGCGAACATGGCCATTAGCTTATGCGGGGTAGCAGCAAGCAGTAGGCTAGATGCCGGCTTTCATATCCAAAACAGGCCATAATTATGCGATAAGTAATCAGGGTCTTATGATGTGTATGTCCCATAGTGGATCATTTTGCTTGTCTTGGAGCAAGAGTATCAACAACGCGGCGTCTGCTGCGCTTGTTTGAGATCGCAAACTATTTCCTTAGGTCGTCTGTCTACACGGATCTCGGCAATTCAACTCCGTCAACTATCGTCATGAAGCATCCATTATCCTGGAGTCTCAAAAGATGGATTTTGACCATGTATAAATAAGCTCCCTTCGTCTCCAGCATCAGGATAGAAAAGTGGCAGAGCGCGCCATCTCAACCTTGTCTCTCCTCACTGTAATAACCTTATCTACTCTACCTATCATGGACCAAACTGTTAAAGTCGGTGCCGTGCAAGCAGAGCCTGTATGGCTCGACCTAGAAGGAAGCGTTGACAAAACCATCTCCCTGATCGAGAAAGCAGCCGCTGATGGAGTCCAAGTACTTGGGTTTCCCGAAGTTTGGATTCCTGGTTATCCATGGTATGATCGGAATCTGTCAGCCAGAATGGTTTCATCTACTATGTACCCATGATGCTAATAGAGCTGTGCAGGCAAATGTGGACATCTCCAGTCATCAACAATGGAGGTTGGATCCACGAGTACATGGCCAATGCTATGCGTCGAGACTCACCTCAAATGAAGCGAATCCAACAAGCTGTCAAGAAAGCGGGTATGCTCGTCGTTCTTGGGTACAGTGAACGAGATGGAGCAAGCCTGTACATGGGACAATCATTCATCGATACAAATGGCGAAATTATTCATCATCGACGAAAGATCAAGCCTACTCACGTGGAACGAACAATCTGGGGCGAGGGACAGGCCGAATCGCTCAAAGTCGTCGTTGACACCAAGTTCGGAAAGGTTGGCGCGTTGAACTGCTGGGAGCATTTGCAGCCATTGCTTCGATACAACGAATATTCACAGGGTGTGCAGATCCATATCGCCAGTTGGCCAGCTGAGTTTGAGATGCCAGACCCTGAAAAGATCGCTTGGCTGTACCACGAGACCGGTGAGGCGAGCTATCGCGCAAGTCAGTTCATGGCCATTGAAGGGGCAACTTTTGTCGCTGTGGCCTCACAGGTTCTTACCGAAAAGAACTTGGAAAGAAATGGACTTGCAGGCAATCCTGTGACCAAAACAGTGAGATAACCCTCCTTGAAGATGGACAGACCGCTGACTGTTGATATAGCCGGGTGGTGGATTCTCGATGATCTTTGGGCCGGATGGCAAGCCACTTGCAGAGTCTATTGGTGACGGTGAAGAGGGCATCATCACAGCTGTGGTCAATCTGAGAGATATTGATAAGCCCAAGGCTTTCATTGACGTCGTTGGGCATTATGCGCGGCCTGACCTGCTGAGTCTCAAGGTCAACGAGAAGGTTGCAAAGCATGTCGTCGTGGATTAGTGACGAGGAGAGATAACGAGATGCCGGTTTCTCTTTCAGTAGTATCCAAAGTTCATATTACCGTGGCTCAGGAGATCTTACTCTCTGCCGAGGTTCGGATCATGCCCGGTTTCGTTTCCATGATAGCGCTTGTAGTTACTCGTCCTCTCAAGTATCTGATCGCACAAACTGCCAATTGCCTCTTGGATTCAAATACTCTAGAAAATAGCCGTTCTCATACATTTATTCAGTCTATTTTCAGCTTATGCTCCACGAATCCTTGAACTTATCGGACACTCTCGATTGCTGGGTCGAATTGCCTGTTTTGGATCATTGACGAACATGGCGATTATTGGCGGCTGACACATCATCTTCTGGACCCCGCTGACTCCCACCAAGGATGGTAGTGACAAGATACTAGAACAAACTGGCAATTCGTCCAAGGATTCTAATTTTCCTCTCGAAAAGTAGCTCGTGATCATCATTGTCGCTCACTTTTGAGAGGTAGACCGGAGATGCTGCCGAAACAAAGCTGTTGGACCTGCAAACGTAAGATGACATATCCTTTGGTGGTCTTCAAGCTGACAAGTGTAGGGCGCAAGATCGGCTGCGATAGGGCAACGCCGAGTTGTAATAACTGCATGCGGACGCAAAGAAAGTGTCTTGGATATGGCCTTCAACTTCTCTGGCCAGATCGTCATGATGGACGGCGGAGAAAACGTGACCCTGCTGAGCATCGGCCCCCAGCAACACCATCAGGATCGGTTCACTATGGCAAATACTTCTTGAACACATCCATATCAGATGTTGATATTGCTTTCACAAATAGTGGTGGCCATACGCTTGTGGATCTCTTCCGACAACGACCTCGACGCAGTCTCACACTTCATGGCCCCTTGCTCGATCGTGCAGGCATGCTTCTCGGTTATTGTGTGTGAAATTCTCCATTTCCCTTGGGCAATGGCTAACGGAACCAGATCAAAACATTATATCCCCAATGATCTCTACAACTCAAGCTCAAAATGGCTTTTGTTCGACATTACTACCCATGGCTTTATCAAGCCAGGACAATTCAGCTCTTGCGTTGCTCAATGCAATGATAGCCGTAGCAATGATCCACTACTCAAACTCGATAGCTGATGCAATGTCGTTCAAACTGAAAGCCGTCCGGAACTTGTCAATATCCCTCGCAAGTAGTACGAGGTCAAAACGTGCATCGACCAATCAAGTCCAGCTTGCAGCAGTAATGATGCTTTGTGTTTATGATGTCCGTATGACCAGAAATTGGGCTACCGTAACTAATGCTTCACAGGTCTTTGATAGAGAAGAGCACAATTGGCACATTCATTTGAACGGAGCGAAGGAGATAATAAGGCGACAGTGCACAGATACCCCCGGCTCAAGCTCGGATTTCCTGCTTACCTGGTGGCTATATCATGATGTATTGGCTGCTTTCAACCATCCGTCATGGCGACTTAACGAAAGCCCTGGCTCCGTCTCAACATCCGCTCTTTGCGCTTTCAGTGGTAGCAAGTTTCTCGTAAGTGCCCCCGTTCTAACGTCCACTCTTCTGACTCTGGTCCAGATCGTGGGGTCTTTGGGCTGTTCTGTGGAGGTCCTTGAGATCATTGATGAGATCAACATGATGCGACTACACTCGGCACAAGATTGTCTGAGCACCTCAACGCTGCAAAGGTGCGATTTGGCAATGAAGCTTTACAACCTGCGACAGTTGGTTGCGCCCATCGAGTGCTCTGGTAGTTTAAGATCACATCGCATTTTGGCTATCGCTGAGTTGTATCGTCTAGCGGCACTGCTCTATCTCCAACGCGTTCATTCCATCGCGGAGGATGATTTCACGCGGCCGGTTTACGTACAACAAGCCCTGGGGATTTTGAAAAGCCTGGATGTTGCAACCAGTCCATGGCCAGTGTTTATCATCGCGTGTGAAGTCGATGAGCAAGATCGAGTCAGCATTCTGCATACCGTTGACAGAATGGACAGCGTGAGGAGCATTGGCAACATCAAAGTTCTACGAGATATTATCAAGGGTATCTGGAAACAGCAGGATCTCAGGAGTATAGGGAAAGCTGGCCAGCGTGTCGATTGGTTGCGGTTTGTTGAGTGCGATGTTCCGGTCCCGTGGTTTATCTAGGTCACGTCTAGCTCTCGCTATGTCACATGAAGATGTTGAACAAAGGCTCCGACGGTGCTTCGCGCTACGACGTGTCCATCATGGTGTCCTGGCTTATGAACCCCTAGGGCAGACTGCCCATGACGCCACTGGCGGCCCTTTTAGCTTTGCGCGATATGTATTTGATCTTCAGGTAGGCAGCTGGAAATGATTGGCATGAGGAGGGGTCACAATGAGACAAAGGACTTGAGAGTTTGTCAAATGAGCGCGCCAGGGGCTGTGAATCCTCTGGTATCATGAGCATCATGAGGACTACCTCTAACGGCACTAGAAGCGATGGGGACTAAACGGTGACGCTCGGAAAGTGTTCTGAAAAGAAGTGCGTTATTATACACAGTGACAGGGAGTATCCGTATTCAGTCACGCGTGCCAGATGCGGACGAGGACTTGGCATGATGTAACGCGACGCGGTGTGACACGTCGAGGTGCTCGCGTACTGAGTGACATTGCGTGTCCTCTAACAATAATGGGGCCTTCAGATCGCTGTCGAATTGACCAGCCACAAATGGGTACTTCCGATAAGACGGCTTATCAGTGCGATAACACGTCTGTACCATCAGGGGATAACCCCTGTATTTGCGACCATGCGCTCGCTACGGCGGCACTCGAGAGCCATCAACGCAAAAGGTACATCTCCTTCTCCTGTCAACACAACGCCTTGCAAGGTCGCTAGAGCTGATAGGGCCAGCACCTAGAGCCCAACAGACAGGCAATTGCATGGCTTCAAGTACCGACCTCTTTCGCAGGCACCATTTCTCGGAGCTTCAATTTGCGCTGGGTCTCTTTTTATCACTGAATCATCGCACTGCATTTACTTACTGTATGTCTGGGTTGCTGTCTGCCCAGCAACTATTGGCTGCTTCTTGTAGCTTATTGAGCTACAAGATCAACACGACAAGCAGACGGCCAACGATCAGTTTGCTCAGCACGGTCACAACCGCGCACTTGGCGACAGCCAAAAAGTGATGCAGCTCACAGACAACCAGCAAAAACATACAACAGCGGGGATTCGCTGGTCGTCACCGACCCAACTACTGATCCGCCCCTTACAGGCTTGACTATGGGAGAGCGGACGGGATCCCGTATTTTCCTGCAGGTATGGTCGTATGTGCAAGACATGACCTGTCTCTTGACCTATAT